GGCCGCGAAAGGGGAGACAGCCCGTGAACACAGGGCAGTGATGCCCGCTGTCCACCACAGATGCAGTTCTAACAGCCCTACCCCTTTCCAAGTCCATCAGCCTGAATGATCCGATGCCAATTTTCTGTACAGACTCATCAGGAGAGACAAGCAGGATGCAGTGCTGGTTACAAACAAGGGGCTTGACTTGTTTGTTTGCCTTCGACACACATGTATTAGCTTCCCCTTCCCCTTAACTCTCTAATTTGCAGTGTGAGGCATCAGGTTTCTTCAACCCCTGAAAATCCCAGTCCATAGACACGCTATTTACATTTTTCCACCACGGGTGACAGACCAAAGAAGAGGGATAATTTGCTTTCAGTATGTTGCTCACACCCATCCCTAACATTTTCCATCCCAGCATTACACACCCTGGCAACCCTGCCTATTTAAATACTTGACGGATCCTAAAACGATTTAAAACATCTGGGGATTTGGTAAGCATGAGAAGGACTTTTAAAGGTTTGTGATACAAACACAATTCATTTTTGGGCAGAAGGGGACACAGTGTGCGAGACATGAAATCACAACACTCTCCTACAGTCTCAGGAGAGGAAGCTGCTTTTCTTTTGCAGTGTCCTCCAGATCTATTTAATTATTTTCCAGCTCTATCATTTAACAAAGCTTTTCTCTTAGGATCCCTTTTTACACGAAATGGCTGGGTAGCCACCTCCATCTTTTGCAGGAGGGAAACAGGAGGCTCGCAGTTGCCTTGGTTGAGATATTCAAAATCCTGAAGGCTTACCTGTCAAGAGGCAGGGCTTACATGCTACCTCTGCGGGGCAGAGACACTGCCAGCTGAAGAGCAATCAGCCTCAGACAGCATTCTTTCTAAAATGTGGTTAAAACTTCCATCTGCTATCAGGAGCTTTTACTGCATGCAAAATTAGAATTTAAAGCGGTATATGTAATTTCATCTACATATAACATTTGCAGACAGCTTTCATCTGTGTTTCTTGTTGAAAGGAAGTTGCTACTGGGTGCGCATGCCATGCCACGTAAATACTTCAGTGTCTCTGCAAACATATTTATGGTTATGTTCTTCCATCTGCCACAGAAAAGTTAAGGCTAGAGAAGAGCAATTTAACAAGAATGGAGAGTCTGTCTTAGTTACTTTTCTTCTAGCTTGTGTTTAAATGTATGCACGGAGCTATAAATCATTGAAGCCCCGTTATTCTGGTTCTTGCCAGTCATCTTTGCTTTACAGTGAACAGCAATGAGACATTCATCTGGCCTCAGACTGACAAAACAACAGTGCACTGGTGGTAAGACCAGGAAAACAGAAGTGAAGGCATGAGGTGTACTGGGATGTTTTCCATTAAGGAAGACCGTAATTTACACTGACCAGATGCAATGACATCCTTTCCTAGCTGTGCTAATACCACTGGAGAGTGATTACCGCATTGCCAAGGCTCATCTCAGTGTGTGTCTATCAGAGCATGAGGCTGGACAGGCAATCGTTATTATCTAAGAACAATATATTTTTGGCTAGGGATGGGAAGGAAACATTCCTCATTCCAGACGCTTCCCAAACTTTGTATTTTGTTGGTGAAATGGTGCCTGTTGCCAGTTTTTAAATGTGAGCATATTCTTATGATTAAATGGCAAAATTAAAAAAAAAAAAAAAATCTATCTTGTCTACGCTCAATAGCCAGCTGGCTGGCAAATATCTTAAAGCATTTTATAGTTCAAGTGACACCAGATTTAAGCCAGGCCAAGCAACTGATGACAGATAATGATACACACTAGAGCAATTGAAGGGTTCTGAACAAAATCTCTCTATCCAGACACTGATGCGGAGACATCACTAATACTAAACCGTAATTTCTTCACACTTGCAGACCACCATCCACCCCAAAACACTACAGACTGCTGCACGCAGGGCAGCTACTGAATAAGCGCATTTTTAACTACAAAGCTAAACTGTGGTAATCTGAAAAATGCCATTCCACAAGGAACCTTTGGAACCTTCAAGTGATGGCAACTCAAGAAAGCCACCAGATAATCCTGTGTAGGAGAAAACCAGCACATGAACTACGGCAAAACTTCTGCATCCAAACTAAAAATTGCTTCCACTCTGCACCACTCCTGCTACCCAGTGGCATACTGTCACTGAAGCAGCTGATCACGGGACTCTCCAGGTCAATGCGCCAACCTTGGGTCACCTTCACTTCCACCCTGCTCCGGAACAGTCTGCTCACCCGATGGCTTTCTGTTGACTTTGTGTATTTGGCAGGATGATTTGCAACCCTTGCTGATGTTCAACCCATTCGGCCAGTATGCCTTCTCTGAATAATGGGTCCCCAAACAGCAATCTCTCTGTTTCCACTAAGGACATAAAAGCAAGGACTAGGACAGCAGGTAATAGGTGTTTACTCCTGGACATCCAATGTTCAAATATTCACTTTACACCCTAAGAGAGAATGAGGCGACACCAGCTAGAACATCAACCACACACGCTGGGCAGCACTGATGCAGCTCAGACTTTGAACTATGGTTGGCAGTACTGGCCAGACCTTTGGGAGCGCTGGTCAGGTATTTTGCCTCCTTGCACACACACTGCCTGCTTATGCAGTGTATTTTGCTTCCACTCTGGTATGGCTGACTAGATTAAACAGGCAAACAGATCCCTTGGCTCTCAGATGAGTTTGGCCTTCGATTTCATGTCCAGGGTGTAATGCTGACAAAGACGACAGACAGAAGCAAGAGGTAAACTGGGGCGAGCTAAAAGACTTCGAAAAATGGTTTTGTTTGGGCCTAGGAGCCATCCCCTCCACATCAGAGGCAGATAGTAGACCTACTATCCTGCTTGCAGGGCAAACTAAACACCTTCCCAGACTGCTCCATTAATGTGGCCAGGCAGTCTCCTCCCCATTACTCTTCCAGATTATTTAACTAAAAAGCTGCAGAGCGGAAAGGCTGCTTCATCTGAACTGTCAGGAAGAACCAAGTAAGGTGCACAATAACTGAAATGAGCCAGGAAATGAACCTCTCCCTCCACCACTCCCCCACGTCCCTTTCACATGAACGAAAAACACCAGTTGCCTCTCCAGAAGGCACCAGCTAATTAATTTAATTTCCCAGCTCTTGTTTTATCAAAACAAGTATATTTAGCAGGGGCTGCCTGAACAAAGAAGTGACAGCAGGAAATTGCCTGTGTGGTCCTAATGCAGACATGAATCAGCAGAAGGAGACACGCAGCAATGCAAGAAGGAGGCTTTTTCATTTCTTTTTCTTTCACATATGGTTAGATAACACAGGAAAAGTGTCCTTCCACTTACGCCTACTGATCATCATACAAACATTTTCATTTATTCTAAAACACAGGTGCGCACACACATATTCCCAAATTGGAAAAGCAGCCATGAAGCCATTTAGAAAAATCATGAAACTCCCAGCCCATCAAATGCCGATTCCTCACCGGAATCTTGCTCACCAGAAAAAATAAAACTCTGAAATGGAATGTTGCTGAGGTGATTTGTGACTCCCTTCTAAACGGTCCCTTCAAACAGACTCCCCATCCATTTGAGAGCAGCAACAAATTTTGGACTTGGCAGCAATTTGGCTGCTTCCAACCAAAGTAGAAAATGGGTTATGCAGGCTAGGGGCACTTCCACCGCACCTCCAAACACGCAGGACAGAGCTGCACACTGCGAAGCTTCTTGCAAAAAACCTCATGAAAACACTGTGGTGCCACAGCCAACGGTGGGGATGGATCCTTCCTCTCTCACCCTCCAGCCTTGCCTCTCCCACTTTGTCTTTCACTCCTCACTCTGCCTCCTTCCTTTCACCCCACATTTCTAATCCTTCACCCCACAGCACTCCTGCTCCTGAACAAAGCCCAGAGGAACCCGAGCTGATCATCCATTATATTTGCTTTGGAAGGAGCATGATGGCCCAAAGGGGTTCCTGACAACCCGTGATATCGCCACCATCACCAGTAATTGTGTCCCTAACCAACTCTCACCCACCAGGAGACTGCGAACGCACACAGTCACTCTAACAGCGCTGCCATGTCTCCTGTCAGCAGGCTCACTGGGGACAACCCTGTCCCAACAACTACCCACATTACAAATGATTGCTCTAAATACCTCATGTGCCTTCCTCTAATTCCTTTGTCAGAGCCACAGCCTCTCTAGACCAGGGAAATGCATTACAACTTTCAAACAAAGACTTGGTGATGGCACGCTTTGCGGGGGGTGTTTATAGATGTTTAATGGTCTTTTTCTTACGATCAAGGTGCTATAGCACTTATGAAAGACACTACATTTATTGGTGGGGAGAGAAGAGGGAGAAAAATAAAGAGGCACTAAATTACAAGAGGGAAACACTATTAAACTGCATGCAATTATCAAAAGATACTAAAAAAAAAGAAGTTTTATTAAACCTTTTACTATTTAAAAATAACATTTAAATGTGCCTGTGATAGATCTGAGTTTCAGCTGCCTGTAGTGACAACCAAGGAACCTACACATTACAAGATATGTATTTTTATACATGTTTTTATTAACGGTCATCCAAAAATCTCAGCACATCCAAAAGCCTCAGCATCATTCAGAGAACTGCACAGAAAACACATTCAGCTACAATACTATTTGTAATGTCTGATGAAAGAAGGGCTTGAATAACATTTGTTCAGTCAAGGACGAACAGTCCTGTGGAGCCTGCAGGTGAATGCAGGGAAAGACAATGTTGGGCAACGCTTCAGGCCTGCAAAGCAACTGAGGGGTCGTTGGGAAGAAACACCAGGTGAAACCAAACCATTTTGCAGTCCGGGTTGCACTCAGAGGGCTGCCCCATGTGCCAAACATACTTCACAAATAATCATCACGCGGTTAGGGAAACAAGTCCTGAGGTTCAAGGGCTTTACCAAATACCTCTTGTTTCTCAAACAACCATGAAAGAAGACGTTGATAAGGAAGGTCAGTCTCAGGCAGAGATACTCTTCCAGTGGGTGGGTGTTAGTCATCAAAGTCGATTCTGATGGGGCCACCTGTCAGAATCTGGTTTGCCACATGAACAGATTCCTCCTCCTCCTCTTCCTCCGTCTCAGCTGACCTGCGCAGCCGTCTCCGGCAGCCCTGGGCGCAGCGAGAGCTCTCATCCAGCGCCCCGCACACGAGGATGCGGCAATGCAAGAAGACCTCCTGGAGGGTGGTGAGACAGCAGGCCAAGTCAGTGCGCAGTGCTGGGAATCAGACTGGCGGTGCTGCCAGCTCTCACAGAGCACAAGCAACACCATTCCTACGATACAGCCATTTCCGTCCCTGCACCAACAAGGTCCATATCCACCATCACACCATCCACAGCCAAACTGGCTGCTCCATCTGTTTTCTTATGCGCCCAGGAGAATGCACGTTTTCCAGAGCGTCTGGCTGAGGTATCAGAGCATGGCATCTGCCTGTTAGCCAAGGGCTAGACAGGGAATATGAAGGCATGAAATGATCCTCCAGAGGAAGAGATGAAAATGCCAGAAATAAGCTTGTAAGACCTCACATGAACTGGTAGGAGCTGCATAGGTAGGAAGCAGGCGAAGAACACGTGAAGCCTCACAAGGAGATGAGCTGATAGAAACATGCAAGAGAATTTGACATGAGCTGAGAAAACATGAAGCTGGGAGACTGAGGGGCAAAGGAGGGAAACACAGGTTGATGAGGGGCTAAGACCGGTAGCTGAGGGGAGTAGGAGAATGCAAAGGGCAGGGAGGCAGCTGCCTTTTCTTTCTGCACAGTAAAGGCAGATAGTGACGGGATTGCTGCTCCCTGCCCTCTACATGACAAGGAAAGTAAGCAAGATCCCTGCAAGCAGCAATTAAGGAACCAAATATTTCTGAATGGTTGGTCAATGGTGAGGTTTGAAGCAAAATCCATTGCACAGGCTGGGAAGATGCAGGTTGGAGGCAGCAGTAGCAATCAGACAGCCAAGCGAAATTTGTTTCTGAATTTTGAAAGATCTCATCCATTTTAACCCTACTGAGGCTCTCCAGGAGCTAGAGCAGCAGCTTTATGCCTTCTGGAGCAAGCAGCAATGGCTGAGCATAACAATAGTGACTGAAAGACCCGATTTCTTCTGTCACAGAAAAGGAAAGCTATTTGCTTTAGGAAAATGGCATTATCCTTCAACTTGTCCTCTCACTACAAAGCTTCTGCCCGAGTGCCACCAGCCTGGATGGCCTAATTTCGCATTGAATTAAACAGTATGGTGGCTTTCTATCTGGAAACCTGGCATCTGTACCCACAAGAGATAGAGAAGAATATAAGGTTGAAGAGATCCAAAACTATAGACTGTCCCATTCTAAAGATAAGGCACTGCGTAACATGCCTAACTCCCCGAGTTTCTGTTTGGTGACCGGGAACACTTCTTTCGCCCAGCATGCAAGGGGCCACTAAGACTACCCTGGAAACAGCAATGATTTTAACCTGCTATGGCCTTGATGTTCCACAACTGCCCTTCAAATTTCATTTAGTTTTACTTGTTTTTATCCCTCTCTCCTAAAGTACCTGTGTCAGGCACCGGAACAACACAACTGCTGGAACAGGTATAGCAGCATCTGCCTTGGGCCAGCCATTCCTCCCTTTCGCGCTCTAATACAGCCAACTCTGTGCCGAGACTCTTCAAGTCGGATCAGGGCTGATGCATTTATCCAAGAGGTGGGTTTTGAGCTTACCTTGTTGTCTTTGCCCACAAACTTGAACACAGGAACCTGGAAATGCTTGGCAAGATGGTCCTTTGACGTGTACTGTTTCACCGAATCATCCGAAACGCAGCTGCGGAAAGCAGAGGGATAGGCTTTAATGGGTTTCCCAGAAATGGAAAGAAAAAAAAAACATCCCGACCTATTTAACCAGAGAAAGGAAAGGAGGGCTTGGCTCTCTCAAGCTAAGCTACCATCCATGTTACTTCCTCTTTGGCCACAGGAGAAAATTTGGGAATGATGGGGAAAAACAACAGCTATGATAATAGCATCTCCAGACAAAGAAGAGCTCAGCAGCAGAGAGCTGGCAGGACGTGGTCCAGTCCCCTCGGCAGAGGGACTGCCAGAGAGCTGCAGGCAAGTTTGTCCTCATTTTACCTTCCTGTGCAACAGTCTGCAGTGTTCAACGGAACTGTTACACAGTAGAGAACATATTCTGTACTTTCTGTATACACATATATATGCACATAAATCATGCTGAAAATGAAGAAGCTGTTACCCACTTCACTAAAATATCACAGATGATGAAAAACACAAAAATCAAAATCTACTTTGTTTTATGTTATTTACAATTTTCTTCCTGCTGGACTTGGTCAGACAGTTCAAATTCACCAGAGCTAAAATTCGTAATTTCAGTTTCTCCATCTATCCACTATCTAGTCATGCGAGAGGTCACAGAACCGCAAGAAAATCAACTACTTCTATAAAAAGTTACATTTCAAGTGCAGTCTATTTAGAAACTATTACAGCCTATTTAGAGTTTGACAGAAACAGCACGACAAAACGTTATGGTGACTTGATAATTACTGCTGCCTATTGCAAAGCATTAGGCATTTCGAGAGGCCCCGATGCTGCTGTTACATTGCATTATAACGCAGATTGTCCTTTCTAGTAAGTTAATTCCAGAAATGTGGACTTTGCAAGATATTAAAAAAAAAAGTGGTGGTAGAAGAGACAAGAGGTAATGGTGTGACGGCTCAAAGTCCTACTCTTGCAGCAACATTTAGCTTCCATCTTTATACCAGAAACATGCAAGTCATTGTCAGAAATGCTCACGTTTGACACGTTCAATTACCAAAGAGCAGCAACCCCCCATCTATACGTAGCTCTGCTTTCACTAGAACGTGTTATTTGGAAATCTCTACACGTTTTGGCTGACTCTGCTCCGTGGGCGGCAGCCTACTGCAATTCCTCCCAGAATTGTCCTTCTGCTACGTACAGTAGAGCAGTGTATGCTCATAGGAGAACTCAGCACTGGTCTGATCCTAGCATTATCTTCACCACTCTGTATCTTTGTAGGTTTTCTCAGCCAGGGGAGGTTATGGTCTGAAGGGATATCCTGTCTGCAGCGCTTGGCTAGTTAACTTGCCTAGGAGGCAAACATAAAAATCATCCAAGGGGAACTAATAAATTAACACCTACAAAAATTGACATAGATTCCTCCCCGTTGAGGCCAAACACTGGATGTTATTAAGTTGTTTAGGACAAAATTGCTTTTAAAAGTAGCATTCCTGAAGGCATCCGATTGTAAAGAATGACAGTTAAAGACTTTCCGTAAGTCTTGACTGGCCAAGCTTTGGGGCCATAAAGTCTACTCATAGGCATGTACTCATTTGTGAGCATATAAACTGCTGGCTCAAACTGACTGCTAAATTCCAGGTTCTCCAAAGGCTCTCCACACTAGTGGCCCGAAACCTACTGGTTTGGAGCAAGGGAGACAGAAAATGGGAGAGCAACAAGGAGGAACCAGGGATACGTGGAGCCTCTACCATGCCCCAAAGTACGTTGTACGGAGGGTCCTGACAAATGCATTGTGGCATGACAAGAGCAGCTCAGAAAACTCCCGAGTCACAGGATCAAGCCCTTTTGCATTGTGCGTAGGGCCATAGTATGTCCCATGCTCCTAGGAAACCCCCAGACCCTGCATCCCACCTTGGCAACATGAGAAGGGACAGGGAGCACAGGTGTGGAAGGAAAATGAGCGACCCTGGACAGGATATGAGGAAAATAACCCTTTCCTGCGCTGGATGTGGGAGAGCATCAGGGGAGCAGAGAGTGGCTGTACTATGGGAGCTGTGCTCTGACCTTCTTATTGAGTGGTTGCAAGGTAGAAAGGAGGGCTTGGAGAATAAAATAACCACCTCAGCCCACAAATGAGGGGTAGCCCAAGGTGTAACAAGATGAGCCTTGCAATGGAACTACCTTAACCACATCATGCTCAGATAAATCACAGCTCCTGACCACATCAGGTTACAACAGATTGCCCTCAGTGACATGACCTTGCTCCAGATGTCCCAGAGCACAGCAGTATTTAGTGCAATCGGTCATTGCCTTTTATTTATTTTTGTTTTGACAAAGAAGAATAAGATCAGAAGCAGGAGAGCTGCTTTGGGGCTGGCTGGCTGGGTTAGGAGCAGTACAGGGTTACAGAGACAGAGACAACAGGGAGGGATCTGGGAAAATCCTGATTTCCAGTATGGTCATCAGCATAGGGAGAGGGTTGAGGAGTCCCACAGAAAAAGGATCCTACCTCTTGCCAACTGGAGATGGCAGGGAATTAAAAGGGAAGAAAGCAGGAGAGGGAATTTTCCCATCCTCAGTCTAAGGTATATCCCCTCAAATTTAAATAGTGCTTCCCTCTGGCAGCTGCAGTTGCAAGTCTGATCCTACATAATCAAACTGACTTAAAAATCCCATCTTGATTGCCTTGGGCTTTTGGGGCTGGGTTGATGGAAGGAAACTGGGTTATTACAGAACTGTTTGGAGCAGGGACAAATCAGCAGTGTATTCAGCTAATTTTACTTTTTAATTGCTGTGAGCGCACAGAGAGACAAAGAACTCCAGTTAGCTCAGTAGCACATATTAGCCTTTGGTCTAAGCAAGCGGTTCAGTTTAAACACAGCACGGCGTACGCGGGCTGGCGTGTCTGGGGATACTGGGGCCTGCAGATGGCTGGAGGTCGGAGCAGGCTGGATGAGCCTCCAGCCAGCCAGCTCCAGCCCACTTTTCCCATCGGTGAAGTTTTAATGCCCTCTGCAGGATAACAGTACCAAAGGGGCTGCTGGTGCCGTAAATCCTCAAACTAGTGCTGTGGTGATTTCAAGAGATGACATTTTCTGCCTTCTCTCTTCTCTATGTGGCTCAGGTTTTGGCAACTGTTTTGAATCCCATCATTTTCACTCATAGCGGGGAAACGAGTGAATGTTTGGAGCCTTGACTCTGTGAAGAGTCCACAGGAACAGCCAAGCCAGGGAGTCAATAAATCAATCCTTCCATTACAAATCTGCTTATAAATCCCATAAGCGTCAGGCACAGAAGAACTGCAGCCTAGGATGGAGGGAAAGCTAGCTAATGCCAAAACCTTTGTCAGAAGGACAGGAAAGTATTTCTGTGTACTGTACTCTGCAGGACCCTTTCGCTACAAGACAATCACATAGAACTTGTCATCACCAGCTCTAACAGTGTATGATTTAGCATGGCAGCTGAGGAAATAATTGTTCTCCTCATTACATGGCTTGGCAGACAGAACATAGGACTTGTATGAACACAGGCCCTTGACTGCTGGGCTACGATACTTGGGTATGTCTTAGATATTACTTTGGCTAGACTTTCCTCCCTAGAGGACCGCAGACTTGTTCACAACTGTGACATTTCCACAGCATTGTCTGGTTAAGCTGCCAGGCACTGCTGGATACAAACACTCCACAGCACCATTGCACCGTGGCGCTGCCATGTTAGCACCCAAACAAGTGTCCGAAAACAGGGGTCATCTTAGGAGCCACAGCAGAGCTCCCCAAACCTCTGACACAAAACCTGAAATAGTGAACCCACAGATACACCCCAAATTTTTTACTAGCATACCCTGGAAAGATCACTAAACCCAAACACCTCAGAAAATTACAGCCAAACTGAGGGACCTTAAGCTTACTGTACTGACAGGCATCAGAGGGAGCGCAAAGCAAGGCGAGCTCCTGGAGCTTCAAACAGGACCAGCCATGGAGACTCCTGGCTCATACTATAATAAGACCATTATAGGAAAATTAAGAAACTTGCTCCAGTTGCTGTGGCAGCTGGGTGGCAGTGGCACACAGCCATTGAGGGGTTCTGCCAATCGGTTTGGCACTCCGCAGGCTGGCAGAGAGAGGACATCAGGAAGGATATCTTTTCTACAGGAGCCAACTCAATTATCCACAAGGCTAGTTACAGGGAAATACGTCCTATAAAGGCTGCATTTGGAGTAACTTCTTTCACTGCCTCCCACTGTTTCTCCCAGTCACTTTTGACGGGACAGGTGGTTTCAGCTTGATGGCCTGGCTGCTGGTGATTGCTAGGAACACAGGAGATGGGCTGCTGCGGAGAAGCGGTAGCGTTTCCTGCATCACGCAGGCAATGTAACTTAGCCCCACTGCCAATTCCCATCTAATAGCCAGCAAAAGAGGGAACAGTGAACTCACCCATCTTGAATCAGGTAGTACTTCAGGATCTCATCGATTTTTGAGGTGGGAGTGGCAAAGCAGCTCTCTACCAGTGTCTCTAGTCCATTGACATGTACCAAAGGTTCAATCCCAAAGTACAGAGAGTCCCGAAGCTTGAGGGTGGGGAGAGCACCCCTGTAGGGTTCATCGAAGTCTTTGTCTTTGAAGATCTCAAGAGTGAAGGGAAAGATGCCCTGGTTGCGGCTCATGATTTCCAAGGGAGAGTTCTTGAGGTTGGGCACATAACCTTCAGAGATAGTGTACCGGCGTGGGAACTCGCAGGTCACCGGGATCAGCAGCTTGCTGGTACGGACAATGATGTCCCCATTGCTTCCTGGAGTTTGCTTTGGCAAGCCTGTCACCAGATTGGTGGCAATGATTTTATCATTTATGACCTGCAGCAAAGAAAGGAGTTTAAGGGAAAGGGAAGATCACTGAGAAAGACCTCCCCTAGTTCAGACTAGCAGCTGAGTTTACCGTGCTTAGGAAACTCAGACATAAACTAGCCACTGAAAGTACAGTTTGTGAATTTATATGCTGCAACCAGAATGTTGTTCATCCTTACCTGCAACCTAAGGGCCTCTATCAGTTTGCTGTCAACTTCGGTGCACTGTACTCTTGGCATGAAGCACAGGAATTTGCTTCCAATGCTACCCATCTGCTAAGATAAGCTCTCTTGGTTCCTGACCAGTTTTGTCAGTATAACCTTTGAAACATTACCAGGGGACCAGATTCTGTCTTAACGGGAGAGTGAGGCGTGACACCACTTGCACTTTCTGCACCAGAATGATGGTGAAACTGCCTCTGTGAAGCGCTGAGTGAGCAGAAAGCAGTGCCCCTGCTGACAGATGCACACTACTGGAGAGGAGATGGAACAAGCTCTCCTACTTTGGCAAGCTACCCCAAGTCTAATCTCTGGCCAGCTGCATGGCAACACAGGAAACCACTCTGATGGTACAGCTAAATCAACTTTATTCCCCAAGTAAGCCATAGCCAAGTCCCCAGATCTGAGTGATCCCAAGAGACAGGACAGCAATACCTACATCTACAACAGTGCCGCAGGACTTCAAAGAGAAGTGAATGTTGACGTGAGTGCCATTGGATACTCCTTTGCAGGAAGTGTTGATGAGGGAAAGGTCCAGGCCTCCAACCAGGTCCTTTGGGATGCTCACCTCAATAGAGCTGGACTTGCACAGCACTGGAACTACAAGAAAAGTCCCCAGAATAACAGTCCGCACTACAAAACTATCAGGGAGTATCAGGGAGCTAAGGAAGGACGATACCAATTACTATTGGGGGTGAAGGACAATCATATGCTACATTTGTGATACTATCCAACCACAGTAATCTAGTACCCATCTTACATTCCCATCTACACAACACAAACCTCCTGAGCTACCACTGCCCCAAATTCTCCTGGCACAGTGACGTCACAAAAGACAATGAAGATGACCACTATACTTGCAGCAGAAACTTAGCTATGCAGTATTTCCAGCTATACTTAATACTCGGTACAGGTTTGATTAATATCTCTTGCGCTGCTATGTCCCTGGGAAGAGCCTTTCTCAGCTATGGATATCAAATTCACAGCATCCCAGGCAAAGCCATTTCTTAAGACTCTTTATCAGGTTTTACATCAAGCCCAAAACATGTCAAAACAAGGGAGGGTAATTCCATTTAGATGCTGAGCTAAAATGGAAGCACCTCAGAATGCCATAATAATTTTTTTAAAAGCAATAATCCCAACTCTGGCAAACAAACCCAAGTACCTCACTCATTCCACCTCCTTCCAACCTTTGAATTTTAATACAGATCTCCATGTGAACTTTTTAAAATTAAAATTCTATTACAGAAGAAGTGAGAAAAAATGTAGAGAATGGACAAAATGAAAAAGGAAAGAAGAGGGAATAATCCTCAATAAAAAAGTAATTGCTATACACACATCCCTTGGGTGTATACGTATCTATTCAGTTAGATAGAGGACAAGCATATTGGTGCATATATTCTGGTCTCTTCTCAGCCAGAAAAACAAACCTCCTCCAGAACTTACATTTATCAGATTTTAAAAACACATGACAAAACATTTTGCAAATACACTAGGTTCCCCAAGTTTTTTCCTAAAATTAATTACAGTCCCAATCCTTGACATTCATATGATCTGCCTACCCTTAATTTCAATCAAGTTAATTATACAATCCAGGATTCTGGATCTTGGATACAAGGCACACTGCTAAAACATGCCTTTTACCCACCTTAAAAAAATTCTCATGTCCCAGATAAGGTATTTGTAACAGCTACTGTGTACCTGCAGGGAGTATTTTTTATTAAAACTTGATCTTTTCAAGGTGAATGTATGCGGTGTGCCCAAAGCAATGTGCTCTCATAATGACATTGCTGGGTTAGAACAGAAAATGAAAGAACTAAGAATTACCTTAACTTTTCCTCCATCCGCAGTAGAAGGCAAGCAGGAATAACCGAGCATGTCAAATAGCAAAGCTCACAAAGAGACAGAGGGACTTGGAGAACACTGTGCAATGCCAAGATTAATATCCTTTAACTGATTGTGTCAATTTGGATTTAAAGCTTCACTGTTCCAGTGACTCCTTAATGAATAAGAAAATGTAATGCTTTTATAAAGGTGTAATTCAAGGCAAGAGAGTTTGGATCCCAGCTGCAATTCTCCCAAGTTCAGGACCAATTTGGTTCAGGCTATCTCCATTTCTAAATATCTTAGATTGGTACAAAGGGGAAGAAACAGAAGATACCCATTTAACCTCTGCTCTGGCATTGCAGGAGTTGTCCGTGTGCACTCCACCACCTGGGCACAGAAACAAGTGAATGAAACCTGTAAGCAGATCCACTTTTGATTCAAGTCAACTCACCACTGTTTGAGGAAAACACTTTGGGAAACTCCTTATAGTAACCATCTCAGAGTAACCAGTAACGTAATTCAAAGCACTCTAGACTTTTGTACACTGAAGAGTAATCGATACAGAGAACAGTGTTTCAGATCTACCAATTTCACAGTGGTGCTGCAAGCAGAGAGACCGTGTGCATCAGCGTGATTCAGCTCTGAGCAGGCCCGATTCCCTCGAGACAAACTGCCAGCAACAGCATTGTAGGGGGAGCTGAAAGGGAGCTGACAAGGTAGCTGTGACTATACGCAGATGTGTCATTCCAGGGCAAGTGATGATGTCCCGACTGCCAGGACTGAGATGCCCAGCAGAAATGAGTTATCCCGGGTGCCGAGGGATCCTCTTTTTTTCACAACTTCTTGCATCCGTTCAGAAAGCTGCACTCTCCTGACTTGCTGTCAGCATCCATCTCTTGCATACTTGCCCTGGGCTCACCCAGCCTGCGAGGCTCCCGAGAGCCTCACTTAGTCTTTGCCAGTCAAACATTTCAGTTCTTCACCCTCACGCACCACAGAGCACCTGTAAACGCTTGGGAAGCCTCCTCATTACCACTTTAAACTCTGCTTTGCACCAATGCCTCCAAGTACGCTGACCCTGGTAGGAAGCTTCTGTGACAAGTCCAACGTCCATTTTACTGTCTGCTATTGTTAGCACCATGTTCCTTGTCCAGCCTGTGGCTCCTTCCTTGGCCTTTCGAAGTACAGCTGCTTGGAGCAGGGGTCATCTTTTCACGCAGACGGCTTAGTAGAACAGGCTTTCTGGTGCTGGGGAACCCTGAATCACTGCTAAAAATAAACAAACTACACCATCGTACCCTCTCCTTAGCTGCACATAAGGTTTGGGCATGGGAGAAGAGAGAAAAGCATTTAACCACCACACTTCAGAAGGAGGTGGGGTACTAGGATGGTCTGCAAAATTCCAAGTATTTTGCTGGCTGGTACCTTTGTGGGAAAATTATAGCCAAGGCTGTGATTTCTGTGGATAACTATTAATGTTTGTTCTGAATGTAGAGACAGTGCAGGGATGGGTTGATAGGCTGCAGATCCAATTGCTTCAGGCAACTGTGCCTGCCCTGCACTGTTAATTGTACCACTATAATCCTCATTAGATGCCATAAAAAAAATTGCATGGTAACAGTTCCAGATATATTCTCTCATATCTGCAGACCACTGCGTGGGGACATAAATTCCTGAAATGCAAAAGAACAAGCAATCTCGCTTTATGAGATGCTGTATCCCGAGCCCCAGCTTGGCACCCTGCCGTGCTGCTGCTCTCATTAGCAGCCTCAGAAGAAGCAGAAACACTGGCTGGGAAACACATGGCCTTCTCACCCTGCTGGGGTTGCCTCAGGGAGCCAGGATTGAAGAACATTGCTCTTTTCTGGCCTGTATCCATCAATCAGACCTTCAATCAGTAAGTATAATCACAGCTCTTGGAAATCCTCATCTCTTCCTCCCCACCTGGCTCTGCTGGAGCAGTAAGCACTACTGAATCCCACGTGTGCAGTGCTCACCCCTGAAAACAGTGCCCTGCAATTCTAAAAAGCTTAAGCAGCAGAAATTTCATCAAGTAGAGCCGTTCCAACTTCCTCTCTAAGGCATATCTGCCCTGTTGGCCACCATGAAGTCTGGATCTGCTCCCCTAACTGATGGCTGGGCACTTTCTAACACATAGACTACAGGAGATTCTGAGCACACCAGGTAACACTAGCTCATTGGTATTATCTAAAGCCCAAGTGAATTAGCCCATGACAGGCTTCGGCTTCCTTTTATTGCATTTTAGATCCTGTCCTGGCTATGGCCCAAGTCCAGCCCATTAGCAAATTCCCATGGAAACATCTGAAAGCAACCACACAGGTTCTTCATGGGCCCACCAAGGCAAAACACAAGCAGAGCTATGAGATCTGTCTCTACCAGGCAGTAGCATGGTAGTCTTCTCCAGCTTTGTGCTGAACCTGACAAGTCTGAGAAGTGCTCAAGCAAGTCAGGTGAGGCCCACCAGAGAGCATGACCTCTGTCTGCCTTTCACATGCCCACACAGCTCTCCTCAACACACAGTTTTGACTGAATGTCCCTTCAGCAGTAGATCATGGTAGGCATCTTCTCTGTAACAAAAAGGCTGGACGATGCTGCACAGCACCTCAGGGGCTCAGCTAGTTGTGGGTTTATGAGACCCAGAAGGATCTTGGGTCCAAGTCCTGGATTGTAAAAAAAGTCACTGCACAAGGAGCTACAGACCCTGTGCTTAACTTTCAGTGCCCTCAGGAACTTCTCCCTGATCCTCTGCTCCCTGCTATAATGTTAAATTGAACCCTGGAAGCCTGGATGCATTTGCAAAGGAAATCTCGCTCAGCTCTTGCAACCCGAAACAGGGAACATGTTTATTCCATGTGCATGCTATAGATGAAAATGAGTCAGCAAGGAGGACTCCCTGCGTACAGGAATGGAGTAAAGTTTGGATAGAACGTCTTCCAAGGATAACGTTGTTGCCCTTGCCTCTATGCAGCAGAAGCAACAATCAATTTTCAGATGCTGTCTTGGGCATTTTTCCAAGGGAGAGCAGAAACTTCTAGCATCCGAACGAGTGCCCTACTTCAAGACATAGGAATGCTTACTGGAATAGCTACCAAGATACTTGGGCAAAAAAAGGCCTCTCTCTTTAACCCCATTCTTGGAAGGGACTGAACCACTTCAGCTGAAATTTTAAAAGCAGAGTTTGAAAGCCAGAAAATTTCACAGAAAATCCTCTTAAACTAATAGCATAAATTTGCCATAGACATACCCAGCTGATGCAGAACAATACAATGGGAGATGTTAAGCAATCTTAATTGTAAGTGAACACTGCCAAAGCTGCCTGTGATGCAAGATGGACCCAGCTGGGTCCTGTGTCTCTGTTCTCCTGCCTGGTAAAAAAAGCAATGTCTCCAGGCTCTCAGTTTTGGATGATCTGTCATTAATGACAAAGCTCCACTAACCAAACTGGAAAAGACAGACTAAGAGAACAGAACAAAAGCAAGAAAAAAAGTTCCTGCAGACATACTTTTGACTTCCAGGGGACAGAGGCTGCCAGGAAGATTTTGTTGACCTACCTTGGCAAGTATGGTTGTCCTCTGACAGGACAAGTCCTCTCGGACACTCACATTGGTAAGTGTCTTCCACTTCAATACAGGTATGGCTGCAGCCTCCATTGTTATTGTGACAGCCTTCAATTTCTGCAAAAGAAAGGAAAATTAGCACACCCTGCTCCTCAGGCAGCTGTGTGGCAGCTACACAGGCCCCAACATATGCTCCTTGCTAACTAACAATATGATCAACACAGAGCTTGAAGGCAACAGAATGGTGAGAGCTTGCTGCCAAGAAAATACAGTGGAAACCTATTTTTAATTGTACAATTTTCCATGTTTGTCATTTCACCATGAAGTTAACGAGGAACTCCGTGGAAAAAGCTTACCAAATTCAATCACATGCTATAACTGACATACATAAGGAGGCTGAATAGGCAAACTTCAGCATGGCCCTTTCTAGCTTCTGAGACATCCTCTTAAACTATGTTGTTTCTTACTTCAAGAAGGTGGAGGGAAAAATCCTCTTAAAACTTCTACCATGTGAAACCATACTCGCTCCCTTAGTCACCACCAGAATTAAAGCCCTGAGATTTGCAGGGGAGGTGTCTTGAGGAGGACAGACTCACAGGTAGCCAGCTCCTACTCCCATCAGGGAACCCCAGAGAGAAGATGATGCGCTCTTTGCCTGTGGGTTTCCCAGCTGTGATGGAGGTGGGCGTACCGGATTCCTGCATGCCGTTTGTAGGCTGAGGGTGAAACTCTGCCTGTAGGAGTTTGTGTAGCAGGAGTTTTGCTAGTTTGTGTGTTTTAGACTTAAGAGTTTGGCTACCCTGAGGTATATTATCACAGGGACAGAATGACACAAGTTCATGGTGTAAGGTCCCTTCCCCTCCTAATTTCCCCCCATTCTAAAGTGCAGGGGAGAGAGGGCAGCACAGCTCATTATGGGATTTGTCATGTCTTTTCTTACACCTTTTCTATTCAGGTGAGGCAATTCTCTGAGGGTCCAAATTTTTGTGTAAAACATTTTCCTAGCCACTACAGCTGCAGAAAAGAATCTGAAAGGTCATCCAGATACATTCTGCAAATCTGAAGATCTAAGGCAAGTAAAGTAATTTCCAGTTGTTGGCTTGCTATTATAAAGAAAATAACAGAGTATCATGATTTTTTTCTTTAAGAATAATCTGCACTGCTCAATTTTTTTAACCCTTTGGGATGAATACTGCTAGATGTTCTCAGTAAAACAACAGTACATATAATTAAAAAAAAAATCATAAATACAAAATATTTCTTCATAAGCCTGCCATCAGAAATGACTGTGTGGTTTTCACTGAAATGTGAAGAAAAGAACGGAAATTCTGTACTCCATCCTACATGTTGCATGGAAAACAACAGCCTGAACACTCTACATGAGTCAAAGTAATAGGTAAAGCATTATATATGGGAAATTTTGAGGTACTCTTAACCCTACTCAGCCTCACCAGCTCATGTAATAAAGCTAAATCTCTTGCATTTCTTCTTTTTAGCAACAGCTGTGAGGTGGCTCACAAGTAAATCCCATACTCTAATGGCTCACAAAGCTGAGGGCACATCTTTAGAAATAAAACTCACTAACAAGATTGTAAAAATCCCCAGCAGCAGTGTTAAACTCATGAAAAGCACCATCCTTCTTACAGACAGGGAGATTAAATGATATATCAAAGGCCCTAAAATCCAACTTTGGAAACAGCAGAAGCAAACGAGTTTCCAAGCACAGACTATTCCAACCCTGTCAGAAGAGTGCAGTGCTCCAGAATAAAAACTGCCACATAGCACAGCTGATTTATGTGACACCCCACCAGCTAAGTGCTGGATGTGGAAGGGACAAAACATATGAACCACTTTTGGCCCCACACAACGTAACTTAAGGAGTGCTCTGCACAGCAGCTTTCCACAGGGAAGCATCATTGTCCGGAAGAATGATGTTTTATTAATAGAGCTCAGGGAGGAGATTTTCAATCAAGTGAGAGGACATGTGCTGTGATACCAAAACGGGGGAAAACGGGGACAAAAACTGAAGGTTGGAACCATCTGTCAGGGAACCGTAAAGAAGGGTGGAGTCCAGCCCAAAAACACAATGGCAATCCCTCCCTCTCCCTGCACCACGGATATCTGCCGCACAGCAGCTAACGTAAGGTTGCGTGCAGGCTGCAGATGTATTCAGTTCTAGCAATTGCATAGCTTGAAAGCGAGTCACATACATAGCTCTTATTCTTCTCTGAGGCCCCACAGTATCTGTGACTATCTGTGGGGGGCCAGGGTGCTCTTCACAGGTGACCACAGAAAACATCAGGCACAAGTCCATTTTTGCTGGGTTTTCATATTTCTGCTCCAAGATGTTTGCACATTACTAGTGACAACAGATCAAACAAACCTACAAGTTGGTCTTTAAGACCCTGCTTAAAGCTACCAGCCTAAACTCATCAAAGGTTTTCAGACTGCCTGTGCCACCACTGGGAAGTAACTGTAGCAGCTGCACATCAGAGAGCCCACAACTAACTACTTCAACAAGCAAACGGTCAAAACGTATCCCTGTGCTAGTTTTGGCTGGGTAGAGTTAATTTTCTTCACAGTAGCTGGTAGGGGGCTGTGTTTTAGATTTATGCTGAAAACAGTGTTGATAAGGCAGGGATGTTTATGTTATTGCTGAGCAGTGCTTACACACAGTCAAGGCCTTTTCTGCTCCTCACCCCACCCCACCAGCAAGGGGCAGGGGACACAGTTGGGACAGCTGACCCCGACTGACCGAAGGGACATCCCATCCCATATGGCGTCATGCTCAGCACATAAAGCTGGGGGAAGGAGGAGGAAGGGGGGATGTTCAGGGTGATGGCGTTTGTCTTCCCAAGCCACCGTTATGCACGATGGAGCCCGGCTTTCCCGGAGAACGCAGAACTCCTGCCTGCCGATGGGAAATGGTGAATTAATTCTTTGTTTTGCTTTGCTTGCATGTGCGGCTTTTGCTTTACCTATTAAACTGTCTTTATCTCAACCCACGAGTTTTCTCACCCATCCCACCAGGGAGGAGTGAGCGAGCGGCTCTGTGGAACTTAATTGCTAGCTGGGGTTAAACGACGACGAGGCCTAATCGCAAATCTAGCTTCTGTTTACAGACAGGCACCCCCTCTCCCCAATCTCTGTCCTGGGACACTAAGCAATCCTCAAGCTCCAGTCTAATGTCATGACAACATCCCATACTTAATACTAGCTGTCAAAAAACAGCAGTGCTAAACCTTCCCACGCACAGCTATCATACAAATCTCCAGAGCCAAATCCCAGCATCTCCAAGCAATAACCAGTTCTGTCTGGACAACCAATCTTCCAGATCCATTGCTGCCTCTCCCCCCATGGAGATAAATACAAACAAATTCTAACAAAAATGAAAAAGGCAGGGAGAACAAGGAGATTCCTCTCTGCTTGATTAGAAGGATATTTCAGTAACACCACCACTGGCAAGCACAGGAGTGATGAGTGACATTTAATCCCAGCGGCAAGGAGCCAAGTGAGAACTAACGCTGCAAGGGAATGGAACTGATTTATATCGTTTCCAGCAAACTGTGACAGTCAAAACCTCACCTTCACAGGTTTTCCCGTCACTTCCCAGCGTGCGCCCGATCCCACACTCACAGCGGTAGGAGTTCTTCAGGTTAACACAAAATTCGCTGCAGCCTCCATTGTTCTGCTCACATTCATTTTCATCTGAAAAAAACTGCTGTCAGAACATGCCCCCTGGGTAAACACACAGCCGGCAAAAAGGGGCTGCTACATGGGAGTGCTAGTCAGACTGCGGACTGGCTTTCTTAGCCTCATGACCTGTATCAGGGCAACAGGGATGAGTAATCCCACTAAATGCTAAAGACCACTTATCTACTGACAGTAGCAGAGTGTTTTGCCACGCTGTGTCTAACTCAGGAGCAAAGCAGACCTGGGGGAAAGACAGCATGCACACAGCAGCCATTCCAGAGCAAAGATGGACACAATCCCACTGGGAAACTCTCAAACTGGTTCCACACATTGAGGGAATTAATGTTTTCATTTATTTTCTCATCCTAAACCATTCCCCACTCTAGTCACAAAGACATTAAAAAGAAGTTAACATGACTTTACTACATGGCAAAACTAGGTGAACTCCAGAATCAATCAAAAATAAACGCTATCTAGTTTTGTATCACATCCACTACTGCTACATGTGGCCAATCATCCTACAGCAATTTTAAATGATTCAACCCTTACTTCAAAATAAAGACACAAGAATGAAAACAGCTGTAAGTATATAAACAAAGCTGAAATCAAACCAAAACATTTTAATGAACCCCATGAAGCTTCCCCAGGAAGAACCATGTCATGAGAAATTTCATTGTTTCGGCTTCTTGCCCCAGTTCTAGCTACTCCCTGTTCCAGAAAACAAGAACAGAAATGCCAGCTCACTATGGTGAGACCTAACCTGCGCGCTAGTGCCACGCAGGCCACCACAACCATTAGCTGCTCAGACACTCTGTACTACAGGTGAGACCAAGAGCTCAGTTCTGAGGACTCAGCTCCTCACTGCCCCGAGATGGCCCTCCCTGTTCTGCTCCTCTGCAGCCCGCCACAGAGCTGTGGCTTCTACCTTTCCAGCTCAGAAGAAAGAGGAATGCCTGAGCTGGCATCCCACACTTCCTGGAGCAGGCTCTGGATAAAACTTGCAGAATAACCTTGTAATAGGCCTGGACTGAGTTTTTATAACCTAAAGCAATTTACCCATGAAGAGTACCTGCGTCACATTTCTCTGCTGGCTGCATTCAGCTCTACATTAGAGCCCTCCAGGGTGCTGAGAGTCTTTATTGAGGAAAAAGCACAGCATCTGCTTTTGAATATCTTGGTAAAGCTCTGAAAACTCCTCCTACTTTTCTCTGTTTTAAAGGCTAAAGTTCCTCTCTAGCTGCCTTTTTTTTTTTTCTCCTTGTTTTGAAAGGCACTTTGATCTCCAAGATTCTCATTCTTCAACCTGATTTAATCTCTGTGTGCAAAAAGTGAATCAAATAGAGAGGAAAGGACAGTCATTGCTATTGCTGAGCTACAAAACTAATGATTTCTCTTAGGCAGGCCAGAATGGTGAGGTTATCAATCAAGGTTCACATGAGGTTTCACCAAAACAGCTTAGAGGTTACCATATACTAGATATCAGAAGCATAAAACCAAGAAAAAAGAAAACTAAGAGACAGGTCAGAGATGAGCTCTCTTAGGTATAAGTGGTCCTACACATACACAGCACCTGCAGCATGCAGCTGGTGGTGGTGTCTCCTTCCATAACCAACATGAATTGAATATTTTTAGCCAAAGAAATGGTTGGTACCCTGCTTTGGGAGGCAAGAAGCACATCCAGGAGACATGTGACAGGCTCCACACTTTCTCTTCTAACAACAAAACTAAAGCTGCTTAAAAACACAGGGTGAAGAGAGAAAGGGCTACTGGGAAAGGCATAGAGATGCTGTCAGAAGGTCCTAGAGCTTGGCTTGGTCAAGGGCTGTATCCAGCAATTCACCTCGATGGTCCTCCAAGCTCTATGACACACAGATCCACCCCCTGCTCTTCTGCACCAGTGACAACCAGCACTTCTGCGACACAGGCTGGTTTTCTTCAGACTGGGTCAGGAAAGCACTGAACTGACTTTAACCATGTCGTAGTCCAACACAGATCAAGGTATTCAAGAGATCAAAGGCAATGCACTGCGCTGGTGGATCCATGACAAAGTCAAAGACCTAAACTAACCCCTAAGTAAGTTTGCAAATGAAAATATAACTTCGGATCAGCAGTTCTGACACATATAATGTACTGAAAAGACAACAGCCTAGCACAGAGGGGTTCACAGACAAAGCTGCTTAGTGTTACTGCAGCATCTTCAGCTCCCTCTTAGGGTGAGCTGGGAAAGGAATAGGAAAGGCTAATACATATAGTATAGGAAAAGCATAGGAAAGGCTAATACACATTTGCTTGGTTTCTCTGGAAGACTGACACAGTTGCTCTCAGGTACATGATAGCGCAATTACTCAGCACAACAGAAAGTCATTAGAAAGATGAGTGAGCCATACAAGAAGAGAGGCTGCGGATAGGTAAACTACTGTGATTATTACAGTTGAAGCGCTGTGCCATCTGGTTATCATGAAGAGAAGCAGTGGTGCACAATTCCTGCCTGGCCTGACCGTGGGGGGATGAAGGCAGCTGCAGCATGTGCAGACAGGCTCAGGAGTCCTGCTGCGGGAAACCCTTTCCTCTGAGCCTGCCACATATTTATTGAGCACTGGTGCTTGTCAAGGGCACTTCTGTGCCTGAAAGCCTTGCAGAGAAGCAGCCAGTAGATGCTTTTAACTAGTTGAGAGAGCTAAGTCAGCCACTCAGCTGCAGAGATGTGCAGCAGCTTTAGCAAAACCGTTCTGTAGAATCGGTACAAGCAAGTGTAAATCTGCACCAGGGCCAGGCTGCTCTCTCCACGGATTGTAACGACTGTGGCCCCTACCCTGATGCCCACAGACACGAGGAGTGTGAAGAAACCACCCGCTCCTGCTTTGTCAGCTGTAGTCCTTATGGAAGAAACTCGTCTGCCACGCAGGCTGCTGGACCAACTCTGCTCCAACTTCTCCACCAAATCAAGCCTCAAAGACAAAGATGAGATCCCACTTCCCCCGAACGCTAGCACCCCTTCCTCCCTCCACACCACCTCTTTCTATCCATTGGGGTGGCTCTACAGCTCCTCAACAGCCACCCTTTCCCAGCCCCTTGCGTTACCCCACAGGCCATCTTCTTCCTACGACCTTGCAGCCCAGGTGCTCTCCTCCTGACACCACACACAACCACAGCCACCCTCACTGTGGGTTCACGTGGATTCCCTCACAAATCCCTGAAGCCCACATTCCCCCCTCTGCTCGCACTTACAACCCTCCCCATCCCTCTTGGTCACATTAGTCTCTGCCAGTGCTGTCACCAAGTGCCAGTCCCCTGAATACCACCTTGTCATGCTGCCTAGAACCACTGAGGATGTGCTGTGACCTCTAATCCTTTGGCTTTCCTCAAGCCCCAGGCCCTGAACCAGGCCCCACAAGGGCAGTAAGTATGGTGAAGCTGAGTACATAGACCTACATGAGCCAGCAAAACTTTTCTTCGGGGGAAGAAGCATTCAACAGAGTGGACGAGAAGAAATCTCTAATGACAGACTACACAGTTGTTCCTGAATACCAATAAGGCTGTACCATGCTCTTGCAAAGAGACTCTGCTACTGACAGCGAAGCTGCTGCCTTCAGCAGCTGGACCACGTAGAAAGCAAACCTCGCCTCCGTACGTGTGTAGCTCCAGGGGCACCAGAATGTATTCAGTCATGGGATGTCGTATCTCAGCCTGCGGGGAGAGGTCTGGAACTATTTACAGAATCAAAGACCTGTTCTAGGCAGCAAGTGGGAAAAACTCTTCTGAGAACACTTTAGCTTTTTTCATACTGCTTTGTAAGACAACGGATTGAGATGGGATCAATGAACCAAAGGGGAAAGAAAGCATCAGTAACTGACACAAGTTATTTCCACCCTTACCAAGACACGTCTGTCCATCAGGTCCTAGTGTTGTCCCCAGGGAACACGTGCAGTCACTGGTGTCCAGGCAGGAGCCCTGGCAATCCACCACATCACAGATGTCATAAAAATCTAGGGCACAAGAACATTGTCAGCACTAACCACTGAGCATGCACCGAAAATACTGTATCTGCACCATCAGCTTCATGCCCTTATGTCTAATCCATTAGCTGCAGACCTAGGCCACGTTAGGAAATCTGAACCACTGAATCTGATGAGAAACAACCTGTTTAATTATTCTAAGTCAGAGATGCAAATTTTGGCTTTGGTAGCATGCCAAGACAAACCACAGGGCCCACAGAGAGGATTAAGTCACCGTGGCCAGGTCAGCTGTGGAAAACTTCCGCTAGCTGAAGAAAGTCTAGAATTCACAGAGGTGAAGCAGTCTAATCCATCTTGTATAGACAGGCCACCATCTGCAGTACACCACCTAATGCACTTCTGGGCGAGAAAGCCAGAAAGCAGTCACCACCTCTCTCAGGTATATGGATGCTCACTACCTCTCCTGCATCACGGGGACAAAGGGGTTTCAGAAAAGCGATCTTGGCAGCTACTTACGCCCACAGTATGCGTGGAAACAAACGCTAGGCTTGGTTAAGTGATACACATAATACCCGCCCGGACACGCCTTGACGTCAATCGTGGTATTCCAAAGGCAGCAGTTCCCATTGAAGCTGGCACAGGCTTGGCGTGGGACAATGCCATCTGACTCTCGCGGGTGGCTACCGTTCAGCCAGATGGGAGCATGGGTGCCACAGTGGTTCTCCGGGATGCAGAAAGTAGGCATAGCATCGCCAGCCATGCCAGTGAAGCGATACCACTCCCCATCGATTTGACTGTCGCATGTCGGCTGGCCGTGGGAACCGTTTATCTGATGATCTGTGTTCCTCCAGGGCTCATTCAGGCTGATGTAGGCAGAGCAGGGGTCCAGGGCTGAGACACATAGCAAGAGACAAGAGAGAACATCTGGTAGATATCAAATCAAGTTGTTGACTGATAATTGCAAGGAACACAAAATAATCTCATTTTCTATTCTTAACCGAATCATTGTGATAGATAGAGATCCCAGAGGAGAAAAAGCAATACCAGCTAACTAATTGCCTTATGGAAAATTCTGACAGCTCAGCTTAAATATCTTAGAAGAAAAAGTAAATTAGAGCTCTTAGAACGTTATGCAATAGTCTGACTTGCTGTTTAGCTGCTGTAGAGTACAACAGAGGAAAAAAACTTGAGAGCCAGGGAATGATTTTGCCACAGGAAATACATCCTGGGAGCACTGGATTAAGCCTAGGACATCTACCCCTTGGTCAAGTGCTAACTGAGCACTTGCAAGCCCCTCCTGAAGTCACTGGTAACTCTCCCACACGCCTTGCAGAAGAGGACCAGACTCCAAACAGGTTATGTGGCCTCTCTAAAAATCCATCCATAGCAAGTATCAGCCCTCACAGTTGAGTTGCCATAACCACAAGCCAGATATCACCTTGCAAAGCATCAGCTGAAATGTGAATTGCAAGATATGCAACAGGAATGCTCCATTTAAGGTGTACAGAAAAAAACCATTCCATTTCAATTATTAGACCCCTATATAATTGGAAGTGATGTCTAAGCATAATTTATCAGCTCCTACTCACTTCAGGGTATCATTTTAAACAGCTAAATATACAAACTGCTATCCCAGGCCACAATAAAGTTGTTCTATAGCTCAGCAAGCTGTCTTTAACAAAGAGCGTATACTTAGAGAAGTGAGGTAGAAGAAAAAGACCCTGCTCCATTTATCTGGGGTTTTGTTCTCCACTGTCTCTCCTATAGTACATTTACGCCAAGGTGAGTTGAAAGAGCTGTAACCCAAATCCGTACACTCTGTACAATTCTGCAGCGGGACAAGAGAGGTGGCAGCCCCCTGTATTTAAAGATCCATTTAGATGTACCCTGGTTTCCTTCAGAGACTCTGTCCCGCAACTTGCCTCTCTGCCAAATGCTAACCACCTCTACGATTCCCATATCTGTTATGGTTTTGTGTGATGTTGCCACCTCCCTGCATCTGAAACAGCTTCCCCAAATCTTTTTATTAAAATCTAGCAAGCATGAAGGTCTGAATCAGGACCTTCTGGGGAGCAAAACGTTCAACTCTTCACACAGCCGTGATCCTTGCAAGCCCACAAACACTCCTGATCTCCATAGGAGATCAGATGTTTGTGAGTGAAGTGTGTGTTCCTGAGGGCAAGATATAAACACCTGGACCTCCTGGTATGTGCATGTCTGTTCATGCAGTGCTCAAGGAGTGTGTCCCTTTTCACAGGCCTTTCTGAACTTTCTGCAAACAATTAAAACATAAGAATACCATAGGAGGGGGAAAAAAAAGAAGAAATTAAGTACTCATTACATTTTCAGTCTTTTTGTAATTAACCCTGATTTGGCAGCTTCCTTACTAAAAGTCCAGAGGTTTCGTTTTCACTTACATTTAATACCTCGTTAAGGACCACTTACCTGTGACTAGCTATTCCCTGTTAGGTCAAATGAATGCTAATATTGTCTTGAGTAAGGAAAATTGATTACCATTTGCTAGAGTTAGGCTAATAAAACCAATCATTTTTTTCAGACTGAAATACTCTCTACTTTCCCCACAACATTTCTTTTTAATTTTGAAATTGCATTGTCTTGATTTACTTAAACAATAGGATGATGCAAGTTGAATAGGGGGAGACATTATATTGTTTCTATCAGAATGCTCTGGATGCAGGCAAACCATCTTGGTTCATTATTTTGATTTGCCTCACTGACTTTAACGTTAGAACTACAAGAGCTTCAGAGAAAGGACTTCAAGCCACCCTTATTTAGCTGCGTCTTCTTTAGATATCTGTCTCACTGACATGCTATCTTGTACATTCTCACAAATATAACCTTTCTCTTGACAAACACCCTTACGCCATCCTCAGCCATAGACACGTTTTGTTTGGCCTCAAATCTAGCATAAAAAGCAGGAGCAGCTGCTGTAGTCATACGAGTGCTGCAGAGCTGCAAGCTGGCACAGGGAGCGCAAGTCTGGGTTACGAAGGGAATCTCTAGCGCCATAATTCACGAGATGTGCAGCGGATGGACTCCCACCACAAGCAGCCCCTAGTTCTAAGCAGTAGAGGGGGAACTGCAGCAGGAGTCTCTGATGAGATTCACTAGGTAACCCCTCATGAGCTCTCAATCTCACTTGCCTCTTCTTAGCCACAGCCAGCAGCAGACCTGTTAAATCCCATGCTGCAAAAGCTTGCTTTACTTCTTGCGACAGGAAAACACCAGTTCTGCCTTTGCACACAGCTGAAAAGAGCTTCCTCTGGGCTTCCCTCAGTATAACTCACTTGGTTTCCACAAGATTATTTGGTATGACCCTAGGGTGCGTCACTGACGAAGATTAAAAGGGTTCTGTGTCCTTAAAAGCCGAATGAGGCCAAGCAAGGAATGCCCTGTCAGCTTCCCAGCTGGGCAGCACCAAAAACACACACACTCTCATTAGCTTTCACATAATACAATCAACTTTATGAAACATCCTTTGTAGACAGACTCTGAAAACACTCATCCAGGGAGATCACATTATCTTCTGAATATTTAGGAGACAATTTAAAGACAAAATTTACCGAGATGAACACGCAGTGGCTCAGAGGGACCTGGAAGGTAGTATGTCAGAGGAATGGGGGAGCACACCCTCACATTTTTAATTTCTCCGAGAGCTTCAAGCAGGAGCAAAGGGGAGGCAGACAGGCAGAAGCAGCAGACAGCGCTCTGTCAAACACTGCAGACCCCCACGGCCACCTTCGAACTGCCAGGGCTGCCCCAAGCCAACCTCCCTGCAGGCACCAAGCAGTCTTTGGCAACACAGACTACTGAAAATTAATTTGAGTTTTTAAGAAAAACTCCACAAAAATACAGGAAAAAACCAATCAACCTCTCATCTCTTCTGCCCAAACCACAAAAGCACGAGAGTTTCACACAAGACATATAACTACCGCCAGCTCCCTCTGTTTTTCATTTTTCTTGGCTCAATTTTTTTCCTCCCCAACACTTCTTGCATGGCCTGAGCAGTTCAGACTGACAAGCATTAGCTATGAAGTCAAGCTTCTCAATTTGTAATCTTGATGATATCATTACTTTTCCAGCTGACATGCTAGCATATATATTGGATGACAAATCAGGCTCTAGCAAGCATTCATAAGCCCACCATCCTGCAGAGAGATTAATCCTGTGTGTATTGTGTAACCAGAGGTCTCTGCTCTAAGCACGACTAAGCAACAAAACGAGCAGCACTGCATTATGGCACTAAGTTCAGTTAAGATTTGTCAAAGCAGCGGGTGAAAAAGTAGCATAATGCCTACTCATACAGTCTCCTCTCCGAAGGGAGAGGAAAAATCCCACAGTGCCTTGGCAGTAGTGATTGTCCCAATATGGGAGCCTTACCGCTCTGCGACAGAAAGATCTTTCCAATTAGAAAGAATCTCACAACACCTTCAAAGAAAAAAAGATATTGCTCACATGTTCCAGTCTTTCACCTAAGAATACCAAGGCTCAGCATGAACCTTAAAGATGGAAAACAGAAATAAGCTTGAAGGTAATGCCTTGTTACTCACCCATCAAAGACACCGGCTGCAACTGGATGATGAAGGAGACAGAGAAAAACAAGTACTGGAACATCCCACTCAGCCAAAGAACAGTTACCACTCAAGTAAGAGAGACTTGAAAGCCCTTACACACACTGCGGCTCTTGCAGCCTTCCTCTCAGTGGAGCTTCTGACCCCAAGCTTTCTGAAGAGCAAGTGTGATAGCTCTCCTGGAAGTTTGTCAGAGGAAGAGGCTGAAGGGATGTGGGGTACAGCTCCAGCCTTGACCTCCACAGAGCAGCAGTTCTGCCCCTTATTGACAACAGAGATGTACTTACTGATCAATCTTGTTTTTTTGGACTCAACCCACTATTGTTTTCTGACCTGACTGCCCCACAGTGACACCTCCACTATCTTATCTGGAGAAGAATTCTAACCAGGGGACACCCGGACATCCCGAAGGGATGGAAAAAAAGAACAGATGGGTGCTTGCTGTTATCTCTGCTCCTTCCACAAGTCATATGACTTTGTGGCTCCCCACAGGCAAAAAACAGCAGCCAGAGAGCCTTAACTGCAGGAAATAGTGGCCAAAGGAGGAGAACCAATCCTTCCGAGTAGAGATTGCAGATGAGTGCTTGGAGCAGAGCTAAAATAGGAACATCAGTTAAAGTGAAGGGACTGCTATTCCACAGGGAAATAAGCTATTCCTATGCTACAAAGACCCTTTCCACTCCTGGTCACATAACCCAACCATTGCAGTGAGATTATCAAATAAGGCAGTTAAAGACTTTTTTTTTTGCAGTACTCTTACAATCTCAGTCTTAAAAAAACCCAAAAAACCTCCCAACAAAACACCACCAAAACCCAAAACTAAACCAACAACCAAGAAACCCAACAGTATTGAATTAACTTCCATCCAAAACTGAGCAGTGAAGAACATCTGCCTTACCAGTTCAAACCAAACTAGGTTGAGCTCCAGGTCATAACCATGTGCTCTGGCTGTACATGAGATGCAGCGCACTGAAATCTGTTCTCTGCTAAAACAAACCGAGCACCACAACTATCAGCAAGAGATACCAAGGACAACACGAACAAGAAGAAAGGGATCTTCCCACCCAATCCCACCAACTGTAGCTTTTACTATAGAGAATAGATATAAACACTTACGTACATACACACACGTCCCTCCCTGCTTATGAACAATGGTCACAGAGTTGTCCTCCAGGAAATCACCTGCAGGCAAAAAGCTCTCCATCAGTAAGGAGTACAGCTAAACCTACAGTAATTGCACAATCAAGCAGGTGTAGGCATTTCCCCATTTCTTCTGCACCCTGCATTTCTGCAGCAGGCTGGCATAAGGAATAACATCAAGGTTGATGTGCTAGCTTCAAATACCAGTGGGAAAAAAGTGTCCCCGTTATTTTCATATTGAGCTTGCCTGCTTTGTAGAAATTGTACCTTATAGAGAGTTCTCAGTGGCCTCTCTCTGCCTGGGTGTTTCCCCTGGCAGCGAAGTGCAACATGCCACGCTGCTCCACCCCAGCAAAGGAGTCTTTTTCTGCGATGAATGATTCTAGGGAACAACAAGAGAACCTTTATAAATGACTATCATTGCTTCCACCACCACCAAAAAAATAAACTCCCAAAACTTCGTGGCTATGTCATGCTGACAGCTGTGCAATACCGGAGAAGTTTCTTCAACAACAGAAAAGGAGAACAAATTCACTGTGCAGAGCTTGCAAGGCAGATGACCCTCAAAAGGTGACTACGTGAATTCCCAGAAAAGAAACTAAAATGGAACAGGGAATACTACAACAGCAAACCACAGGAAGCTGTATTTTGCCATTTTCATTGAGAGATTGATTCATATTTGAGATCCTGGAGAAATAAAACAGACAAGCTCAAACTGAATTTCCTATTTGTTATAGGCGTATATATTTCTCTGAACCATTTCATTACCAGCTGCTTTTCTTTTTGTAGGTGGTATATTGGGCCCAACACTAGTGAAGTTTTAACAGTTATATGTAAGTGATTGACAACTAACAATTAACAGAGAAATGAACTGCATCATTGCAGTTTTGAGCCTCAAAGGTGTCACAAACAGGCCCTACCAAGTTCTCCAAAAGGGATTAAAGCCAGATATACCACTATCCCAAAATCACTGCAACTATCTAGTTCAAGGAAACAGTCTAAAGCTGGATAAGATTCCATGTGCTGCCTCTAAATGTTTTTGGGATGCACAGGAAAGACAAAGACCATCTCAGCCTTCTAGAAGAAGCATCAGCAGAGGTAACCCTTCCTTCAGCACTTTCTCTTAGCTTTGCAGGTTATTTTGGGTAACAGGCATAGTTCCAGTTCGCCCCCTAAACAATAGTAGCCTGTATTAGGGTAGGCCACTGCAAATCTATGCCTCAGTGAGCTGGAGCGCCTATTCCCAAGAAGGAGGAGGGAAGGGATGACAGGACAGAACCCAAATCAGAAACTCCTCCTGTAAACAAACCCTTCTGGGAGAACAGGTACTATTCCAAAGGAATACTCGAGATCCTGTAGGGCCTGCACTCTCTAGGCAGATCTGGTAAATCTGTTGTTCCTGACCTCCACTTCCCCACTCCAAAGCTGAGTGAGCTTGACTTCTCAAGGAGCAAGAAGAATCAGGATCAAGTTAGCATTTCTTAAAAGTAATCATCAGTATGGGTTGAAAGATATGAAGAGGGAAGCCAATATTAAAATAGAGGGCTGGAATTTTATTTTGGTGCCCAGGAGACAGGATCTTCTAAACCTGCTGCTAAGCCTAGGTATGTCTATTAACGCAAGAAAGGATGCTAATTTTGCAGATGGTAACCACACTTCTCACCCCTCCCAGAGATTGGGAGGGCTTCACTGTACTTACACAAGGAACTCAAATTCTTCAAAGCATCGGCTAGGCTGGAAAGCCTCATGCTCTTTGTAATGGACTACTGAATAAAGACGCTCTGGTGTTTGCTGAAACTGGCCTTGTCTTTATCAGAGCCACCTCTCAAGACACACCACCATTTGATGAAAGCAAGGCGAGTGAAGAACAGCTCTTGGTGCAGCAGTAACTCCTGCAGCCCAACTAGAAGGAGCAGGCGGAAGAGCTAATCAGTGCTTCCTGCCGCTGAGAGAGAGTAGAACCCAACACACACGACAGGATCCCTGTCTGCGATTGATTTGAGGATGTATGTTCACAATAAGCCTTGACAGGCTGCTCAGATGGATTGCATGAATGTCAAGGTCTTAGAGATAGACCTTGTTTCTGTAAACAACTTGTCCCAGGACATGCTGCCAATGGGAAGGGCTGCTGAGATCTAGGAGTGAACATGAGTTTGGTGAAGTATGCGCAAAGTCAACACAAGAACAAGTAAAACACCAAGACCCCATTAAAATCAGACAAGTATGTAATTTCTAGTAAAGAGTAGCAATTATTTCCTTTCCCTTAGTGGAGCTCTGTGATGCAGAACTTGGTGTTTTGAGAGTGTTTTTCCACAGGTCTTACAGAAACCAGCGTATTTTCCACAATCCCAAATTTCTAGATGGAAGACTTCAGGTATAGACAGCATACCCACAAGTGCGAAACTAGTCAGAGGCAGAAACAGGAATAGGACCCATCTTTGACAAGTTCACAGAGCCACAATGACACACCATAACAGCAGCTTCTCCCACACTTCAGGGCTTAGATACAGGCATGGAAATCAAACTTGCAGTGTATTTTACTTCTCACACTCCAGTGTCGGTATAAAAAAAAAAATCTGTTTTATTTCTAAGGGGAATAACAGCAATCTCTTAGAATAGGTAGAAAAAGCTCCTTCCTATGTGTAAATAAAGTCATACAATGCAGCACAGAGGAAAGCAGCCTGCATTTACAACTCCACAAAAAAATCACAGAGGAGATCAAAGAAATTGCTCCGCTGAGAAAGACAGGGCAACTTAGACATAATACCAAGATCTGACAGCCAACAGCAGCTTCAGAGCATCATGCAAACCCCTATTAGAGACAAAACAGCAGTGTAAGAACTTGCAGCAAGGTGATCATCATCACTGCGAGGTAGGAAGGGTTACAGGAAGAAAGAAAAAGGGTTTCTTTTTTGCTTTTCAAGAAAAAAGGAGCCATAAACACCTCCCCCTGGAAAGGCTTGCAAGGTAGAGCCTCACGGGCATGGCAGAAGGGGAACCTAATACATTTCTCCAGATGATTTGGAACTTGACATGTTTATTTGAAAGCTCTCTCACAAAAAGAGAGGGAAGAGAAGTTAAGGAAGCGAGTAACAAAATTGGTAGAAAAAGCAGCATCTGAACAGTGCAGAGTACGCTGCTGCTTATCCTTCACAGTCTTAAGAATGCAGTGTTACATTAAGATCCAGGCAGCATTACCTGCTCTTAAAAGTGCTGCCAGTGGGACAGGACCCTATTACCTGCCTGGCTCCTAAGTATGAAACAGCTACTGCAAGAGAGTTTGCTGATGTCGATATACAACAGTGTGTATCAGGAGAGCAAATAACCATCACCCTTCCCTTCAACCTTGGCATTCAAGGGCAACAAAAGCAGAAGCACTGAGATTTGAGTTTGAGGTTCGTGGCATGTCATCCACCCCCAGCAGAGACAGTGTGTGCACTGGTGGTGCAAAGAGGAGTGAGAGCACAATTTTCCAAGGGTTCAGGCTAACAAGACCCACCGGACAGCCCGTAATTCAGGTTACAATTAGAGGATCTTATTTTACTTCTTTTCCTACATAGTGTCTGGAACAACATTACAGCACACAGAGGAACAATTTTGTCACAGCATTTTCTTGCTTCCAAAATAGGGATTGTGGTGCTAGATATCAAAGTCTTCAGTTCTTCTGGATACCAAAATGAATGACTTTTTATGCAACTATTCCAAGCAATTTGTCTAGGGGGCGCAGCAGCTCATCTGTACACAGCAGCAGACTAAGGGTTGCTTGGAGGAAGAGTTTGTCAGCACTGCTGAACTTAATTTCAACAGTGATTAAAGGTAAGGTCACAAAAAACAGCTTCCAGCCCCTCCTCTCTGACTTCAAAATCACAAGAGGTAGCCGTTTTTAAAACTGGTCAACCATGGACTTTTTTTTCTTTTCTACAGTCAACGGACATGTTAAAAAAAAAATCTCCTGGCACCAAACATCTCATCCTAAC